CCAGGCGCGCAGGCAGCGGGCAAAACAGCACCATTGGCATCTCTGGTTGGCACTACTGCGGGGCGTCGAGGCGCGGCAACGGTGCAGATGCGAGCGACAAGCGCATGCGCGGAGTGAGGTTGGGAAGAGAGACGGGACGGCGCTGGGAGCGGGCAGGGCTGGCAGGCCTGAAGAGGAGCAATACGTCGAGAGGGCACTCGCGCGGAGCGAGGGCGGGAGGAGAGATGGCGATGGGAGCAGGCGGGGATGGCAGACCTGAAGAAGACGCGATAAAGTTGGCGTACTGATGAAATGCGCGGAAGACGAGAAAGACATAAACGAGAGGTTAGAGGTAAAAATAGAAGTAGAGTGAGAAAAAGGAACGCCCCGAAAGAAAAACGGATAGAAAGTAAGTGAGTAATGTAGATAAAAATAGAAGAGAAAGCGGAGAGAGAGAGAGAGCAGAGGCAGGTAAAGATAGAGAGGCAATCACAAGCACTAACAATTTTCAATACAGTGACAGGAAGGGAGAGTATGACGAGGACCGAACAAAGGGCGGAGGAAAAGGACTGGATACAAGAAGTTATAAAGGAAATAAGGGAGGTAGGACAGAAGATAGAGCGGCAGACCAGAAAAATGAAGAAAGAAATGAAAGAGATGAGAAGACAAATGGAAGGGCTGGAGAAACGACAAAGGAAGATCGAAAAGAGCGAGGAGCAGGAAGAGACAGAGGAAAGAGATTCGGATGAGAGCAGTGAACGATGGGAGGAAGAGACGGAAGAGGCGAGGGAGTGCAGCGACGGAGCGGTAAAGGGGAAGAAGGCAGTAGAAGAGGAAGAAGAGTGCGGCGTCGAGGGATGGAACGAGGGAGTATGGAGAGAAAGCTGGTGGAAAGAGATAGAGAAAGAAGAAGAAAGGGAAAAGGAGAAAAGGAAGTGGAAGGAAGATGCAAAAAGAAATGAGGTCAGAAAGAGTGATGATGAATTAAATAAAAGAGAAGAGGAAAGAGACTATAAAGAAAGGAGTGAGACCAAAGGAGACAAAAACGAGAGAAAAGTCAGAAGCAAAGAAAAGGAAAGTAAAAGCGAGAAAGAAAAGGCACGACGAACAGCAGAAGACATGGAGGAGGATGTAAGAAGAAGAAGAGAAAAGAAAGAAAGAAAGAAGAAGCAGAAAGAAGAGAAAGAAAATAGAGAGAAAGAGCAAAGGAAGAAAAGAAGAATAATATGGAGGAAAGTAAGAGGAGAAAGTCCAAGGGAAAGAAGAGAAATAGTGGAGATTATAATGGAAAAAGTAACAGGAAGAATAATCCCGGTAAGAGGAGTAATAGAGGCAATGGGAACGGACAAAAAAGAATTGATGTTTAGGGAGCTGAAGGAAGAAAAGGACAAGGAAGAAATAATTGAAAAAAGCGACGAAATATGGAGAAGATGGAAAGTAGGTGTAGATGAGGAACTAACAATGGAAGAGAGGGCGTATAGACACAAATTGGTAATTAAAGCAAGAGAGGAAAGAGCAAAAGGAAGATCAGCTGTAGTAACAAATAGAAGGCTGTGGATTGACGGGAAAGAGGTGAAATGGGACGAAAAGGGAGAGAGATGGAGGAGGATGTAAACCGACAAGGAAGAAACCAAAGAAGCAGAGAACGGATCAGAAGAAATGAGAGGAAAGAAGTCAAGGAGGAAAACACGAAAGGAAAACCGGGAAAGAAAAAGAGGAAGGAACAGAAAGAAAGTCACAGGAAACAATAGGACCGGAAGAAAAAGGGGAAGGAACGAGACAAGGGGGGCATCTTGAAGCTTGAATTGTTTAGAATCAATATTGCGTATGGCAGAATGTAAAGGTTTTTGGGAATGTTTGAAATGTATAGAGTCAATATTGTGTATGGCAGATTGTAAAGGTTTTTGGGAACGTTTTTACTAAAAAAAACGTCTTTCCAACCCGGAAGGGAGTGAAATAAAGACTATTATATATATATATTAATTGACTCGAAATAAATTGTGCACAATTCTTTAATAAGAGAGGATGTTTTCCTCTCAACTCGTGAAACTCATTATATCTCCTCAATTGAACAAGGATAACCCTAAGAGAATTAAGGATCCTTTGATCAGGATCCTCCTTGTAACGTTAGATGAAATACTAACGTCTCTACTCAAGTATGAGAAATTCGGTTACCTTGTATTTGAAACTCTTATGACATAATTCAACGAGAATATTTACGAATGTTCACAAAAAAGAAACTATAAGCAGAGGTTGTCCTCAATTCCTCGATGACGTTTCGTCTCCTGCTTGAAAGTCCTACTCGTACGTTCTCAAAGAGGCTTCCTTCCTGGTGTCCGGAAAAGTAGCCTGAATATTCCAACAGGGCTCGTATCTTTGATGCGACGACAGTCGCTCAGCTTTGAATCCGCGTCACACACGAGAAAACGATATATTGTTTGTTTTACATTGAGAAACGGATCTCGATATTTCCGCGACTCGAATCTAAAGCTCACTGCGAAAAGAATGACGCAATTTAATACGTTAATAGAACAGATTACAACAGATGTGTACTGAACGAGGTCTAGAAGACGAATTCTCGCTCGCCCGGGCTGCGCGCCCCTCCCAACATGCTTACGCACGCGCGGTAGTCCTACGCCGCTACGCCTGGGACGACGCAACGCGGCCGGCGCCTATTTCGCGCATTCACACCGGCCTTTTCAGAACGCGCGGCATGAACTATCATATTTCAAAGGCCACAGATGGCCGTACCGACACAATCTCTCTCTCTCTTTTCCTCAACTTCAAACACATTCGTATTGGTCAATTAATACATTAATCATTAATAGGATAGCTAACTTTTGTGTACTCATAGCAACAGCCAAGTAAAAAGTGTAAGATTTTCGAATAGGTCTAAGTGGACAAATTTCAAATAGAGATAGGCATGAGTCGGTTGGATAGCGTTAGCCTGAAAATAAATAAGTAGGAAGTCCGGAAAAGAGAAATAGAGTAGGGAAAAGCCTTCGCGCGTTCCAAAGGAAGGCACGGACGGACGGCAGAGTGATAACGGCAGTAAGATACACAATATCTTACAAAAGTTTTTATTGTATATTCTATTATATATTTTTACTGTTGTGACACAGTTAATAAAAAACATAAGGTTATGAATAGAAGAGAAAAAATTCACAAACGCGTCCAGAAACATCGTCTTATTAAATCTGCATTGAGGAGTATTTCTCAATCTGATCATTCCTCAGGTATGTAAAACCTTATTTCTTATAGATATTGCTGTATGCATATTTAATAACTGTGTTCTTTAATTCTTATATTTTATTTGTTGGAAATTTAGATAAACTTTCCAATATTGCTAGCACGTCGAGAATTTATAGAGACTCAAGTACTGTGAATGATTCTATTCATGTTGACGCTACTCTACTCCAGTCAATCAATGAAGATGACCTTAATAAAAATAAAAATCAGCACGATAATTTTTCTGAAAGCAGTGAAGATGACATTAATGAAAATGAAAATCAGCACGATAATTTTTCAGAAAGCAGTGAAGATGACAACATCAACAACAATATAGCGGAAGATGATCCTGAAGTTAAAGAAATAAGAAATTGGCCAGTTACATATAGTATTTCATTGGCACATATTGACGTTCTTTTAAACATATTACGAAAAAGACTTTTACCTCAACTTCCAAAATGTAGCAAAACATTTTTACATTCTTCAAGAGCTGAATATACTGTGAAAGCGATGAGAGGAGCAAATGATCACGTTGGCGAGTTTGTTTACTTAGGGATTGAAAAAGGTCTTATAAATTGTGTAGATCCTACATAGAGACAATACCATTCTTCTTCAAATGAATGTTGACGGAGCTTCTCCATATAAATCAAGTACTAAACAATTGTGGCCCATACTTTGCAAAATTTTCCATGAACCAGACATATATTCTCCATTTCCTGTAGCAATTTACTACGGAGATACAAAGCCAGATGATGTAAACGAATTTCTGGATGATTTTATTCAAGAAATTAAATCTTTACATAAAAATGGTATTTACATAGATGACAAAATATATGTTATAATCTTGAAACATTATTTGTGATATCCCTGCCAGAAAATTCTTGAAACAAATAAAAGGACATGGAGGTTATGCAGCCTGTGAGCGTTGCGAGGTTTATGGGAAAAGTTTAGGATTTCCAAATAAGCGTGTAATATATCCTGATGTCGATTGTTCCAAACAATCAGACGAATTATTCAGAAAACAGCAACAAAAAGAACATCACATTGGCTATTTACCATTATTACGGATACAACCATCAATCGATATGATTAATATTTTTGTTATAGACTTCATGCATCAATTCTGTCAGGGAATCACTAAGAAGTTCTATGTAATGGATTTACTATTTAACAAGACTGCTGTGAAATTGACGCCTAATCTTCGACAAAAACTGTTTGAACGTAAACGCATTTGAAAACATATGTGCCTGAAAAATTCCAACAAAAACCTCGGGTTCCTGTTTCAAATATGAAAGCAACAGAACTTCGATTTTTAGCCTTGTATGCTGGTCCTATTGTCTTCAAGGGAATTTTAAATCCTGACCTGTATAATCATTATTTACTTTTTCATGTGACTTTTCGAATTCTATGCACAAAAAATCTTGCACAAAAATACAATGAGAATGCTCAATCTTACTTGAAAACATATTTTCTACAGTTACCAAAATTGTATGGTAAAGGATCTCAGATTCTAAATGCACACTATCTTTTACATATAGCTGATGACGTTAAGATAAATAATTGTAAGGTAAACGTCCCAGTAGCCAACCATGTCCCAGTTCCCAACCACTAAGGGGAATATTCCACTTAATTAAAAGATTTTTCGATAAAAATGAATAAATAACCATTTAATTGAGTTCTGCGATTTATAATCTATGCATAGGACAACAGTTAAAATAATCCTTGCGCTCTTTGTAGTAATTTTTTCGAGTTTCTTGAGAGTGCACGCGCCGCCTCGGGAAACGAAGCGCATCTGTAAGCCAGTTTGTTAAGAATTGACGAAGTACAATTGTAACTATTGTCGCCTTCATTTTTTATATACATATATTGAACAAGTTATAGCTTTTTATATTAAGGAAGATGTAGAGAATGCAAATCTAGGGTCGAAATTTAGTTAGAATTGCCGATAAATTGTTAATTTGCATGGTTGGATACTCGGACGTTTCAACCGTATGGTGTATCAATAGCCAACCAAGTGGCTGGATATTGGTACAACCAGGCGATCGGGTGATGTCCCAATTGCCGGACGCAACGAACACAGCGGCCATAACCTTGATGGAACGATCAGCATTGACGCGCGGCATTGTTTACTAGTGTGCTTAAAGTACGGCATTGTTTACTAGTGTATTTAAAATTACGTTAAACTGAGGCGATTATTCGCAGTATGATATCTAACATTTTACAAATTTGGCTTCGTCGAACGAGTTCGTTATTGCTATTATGTAGTCAGCAGATTGTTTACATTGAAATTTTAGGTTAATCGAGCATTATGCAAAAAGTCTTTCCACGCATATTTCAAGTATGTATCTATTTATGTTACTATAGACGCTGGCATCATGTCGAAAACAGAAAAGTATACAAAATCGTCAATAAAAACTGCTCTGGCTGCAGTAAGAATGGGCGTGCCTCTGAGGACTGCGACTAAAATGCACAACGTTCCGAGAAGCACTCTCTATAACAAGCACAAACAAGGTGTTTCACAACTCGTCAAGAAGGGACCGTCTAGTATTCTGTCTGCGGAAGAAGAAACCCAGCTTGTCAAGTGGATCTTTCATGTCAGTAAAAAAGGTTTCCCGATATCCAAAGATTAGCTGTGTGACAGTGTTGCACGATTGGTTGTGAGACTCGAACGACCAACGCCGTTCAAAGAGAATCGTCCCGGCCGTCACTGGTACGAGGCGTTTCTCCGTCGTCACCCGGAACTTAGCCGAAGAATAGCTCAAAATCTGAGTTATAGTCGCGCTTCGGCGACGGAAGAAAGACTCAGAAATTGGTTCGCCGAGGTCGAGAGCTACTTAACAACGCAGAACTTGTTGAATATTGATCCCTCAAAAGTTTACAATTGCGACGAGAGTGCATTCTTCCTATGTCCGAAGGCCGAGAATGTGATTGCAAGAAAAGGTGCGAGATCGGTTTATAAAGTCGTCAATGGGGATGAGGAGTGCCTCACCGTTCTCTTTACGGTTAACGCGGCGGATGTAATGGCCCCACCAATGGTGATGTATTGGTACCGGAGAATTCCGGCGAGCGTAGCTCGAAACGTCCCTAAAGGTTAGAGCATCGGTACATCGGAAAGGGGGTGGATGACCGCCGTGACGTTTTACAAATATATCGCAAACGTTTATTATCCATGGTTGAAAGAAAATAACGTCGAGTTTCCCGTCGTTCTTTATGTCGATGGCCATTTTTCGCATTGTACGATGCCTCTGAACGAGTTCTGCAGGGATTCATCAAATCGAACTGATCGCATTGTACCCGAATGCTACGCATATTTTGCAGCCCCTGGATGTCGCGGTATTTCACCCGCTGAAATCGTCATGGAAAAAAACAGTCAACAAGTGGAGACTTGACCAGGACGGAGATCGTCTAACAAAAAACAAATTTGCGCCAGTGCTGAAAACTGCAATCGACAGCATGAATCTCACGGGAACAATTATTCGAGGCTTCGCGTCTTGTGGATTGCTCCCGTTTTCGGCAAATGCCGTCGATTTTGATGTCCTTAGAAAAGGTTTAAAGAAACGAAAATCGAAGGAAGACAACAAAGTCGAAAGTCAGGCTGAGGACACCAAATCGGCGGAGTTTCTGAAATTCTTCGAAGAGCGGCTATCAGCCGGTCTGCTACCAGAGTTTATCGAATCGGAACGTATTAGTTTTTGGAGTGGCGCGGTAGAAAATCGAGGACTTTTTACGTTTTGGTTGCAAATGAAGGGAGTCACTGGTATAAACAAACAATTTAGGAAAACTGTTTTTTGATTGCTCTTTTTTTGTCGTGGATAAAATGAACTTCCGCAAAGTTCATTTTATTTAACTTTATTTAGTTTATGTTTTGGATATTTTTGTGTTTGTATATATAGGCTACGAAAAAATGAGTGTAGATTCGGGCACAATCGACGATGCAGTGGTACCGAGCGACGATCAAAAGTTAGAGGACGCCGAGAGAACGACGGCCGAAGACCGTAGAGGAACCCTGACGGATTGCGCTGCAATAATTACGGCGAATAAGAGTCTGAGTTTGGGGGCAGATCAAAGCATCGTTGTGCTGGCGGTTGAACACGATGGGACTCTGGCAACGATCAATCTCGACGAAAATAGCGGCGCTGGTCAATCATTCGGCGACGCAATCAAAATCAAATAGCGCAACTGACCCCTTGGAGACCGAACAATTTATTTCGGAAAATGAACCAGGCGCAAGTTTGTATAAAAATACAAAAATACAAAAATGTTTGAATTTTTCCTGTATTGGCGTCTTTTGATTTGCAGCAGGCGAGACTTGACAGCAGAGCCTTCGAAGGTACTCCAGATCCGTTCAAAGATGCCCTATTTTGGCCCCCGGATCTTCCAAACAAAAAAAGGAAGAGGCCCCTCAACGGTCCCAAGCCTCCCACTGTGGCTACTTCCGATAAGTGGATGGAATATGAAAAATCTAAACAAGAGGAAAAAAGAAACATTCTACGTGAAAAAGAAGATAGGATAAAGAGAAGGAAGGAAATGCAAGAAGAGAAGAAACGTGTGCAAGAAGAGAAGAAGCGAGCGCAAGAACAAAAAAAGCTGGAACAAGAAGAGAAAAAAAGGCAGCTGGCTTAATTGAAAAAACTGCGAAAAGAACTGAAAAAAGAAAAACAAAAATGATAATGCGAAGATATTTTACAAACTGTTGCTATATGTACCTGATGTTACCAAAAATTTCCTTGTCTTACTAATAAAGAAATACTGAATATAAAAAAAGTTGTCTCTGCTTCCATCTGCGAATGGTTGGTAACAGGGATATCGAGTGGCCGGATATCGGGACATAACCAAAAACTGATGGTCGGGTACTGAGACATTTCCTTTTCTCGCATTTTCCGATAAAATTAAATTAACTATTACCGATGAAACTAATTATTGGATGGTTTCCAGAAACTAGAGAATTCAAGCTTTCGTTTCGTCGTATCCGCTTATAAATAACCCAATCAGCAGACAATGTTTTTTAAATGTGTTTTTAATATTTATTTTTTATTAATTATACATTTGTACAGTTTATTGTAAAAATAATATTTATTTAACGTTTATTAAATATTTATTAAACGTTTATTTAACGTTTATTTAATATTTGTTTTACATTAGTAAGTTATTTGCAATAATAAGTTTAAAAAACATTTATTTAACATTTATTCGGCACTAATTTACTATTTATTTTATATTAATTATTCATTTGCAATAATGATTTTAAAAAACATTTATTTAATATTTATTCGACATTAATTTAATATTTATGTTACATTAATTATTTATTTGCAATAATAATTTTAAAAAACGTTTATTTAACATTTATTCGACATTAATTTAATATTTATGTTACATTAATTATTTATTTGCAATAATGATTAAAAAAAAACGTTTATTTAACATTTATTCGATATTAATTTAATATTTATGTTACATTAATTATTTATTTGCAATAATGGTTTTAAAAAATGTTTATTTAACATTTATTCGATATTAATTTAATATTTATTTTACATTACTTATTTATTTGCAATAATAATTTAAAAAAAGACTTCCGGTTCCGGCGAGTAGATAGCAACAGGTGTGCGTGTGGCAGAGAGCAATTTCGAGGTGGAAAAAGGGTTAAAGAAAGTTAGAGAGGTCAAGAGCGGCGGAACAGGGAGGCGTGGAGGAGCGAGAGGGCGGAGGCGAAAGGGTTAAGAACGGGAGGAAGCAGTTAAGAGGAAAAAGGCATAGGAAAGATAACCAATAGGAGGGAAAGGCTAAGGGAAAAGCGGCGGATGGAGGCAGAGAAGGAATTAGGAATAGAGATTGACCAGCACGGAAGGATAGGAAAGAAGAGGGAAGACGAAGGGGAGAGGAAAGCAAGAGGCAGGCCTACAAAGGCGGAGGAGCTTGCTAAGCAAAGAGGAAGGGCGGACAGCCTAGGATCGGTCAAAGATCTCATTTTGAAAAGGAAAAGAAAAGAGTTAGAGGAAGAAGCGGCCAGGGCAGCAGAGAAAGAAATTCTCGACAAATTTAATGAAACGAGAAGGACCAACAGATCACCGCCAGCGAAGTTAAAAAAAGGAGAAGAGGGTAAAAGAAAGATGGCGACAGAGGATCTATTAAAAGAGATACTGAGGAAAATGGAAAAACAGGAGGAGGAGAAGAAAAAAGACAAAGAAGAAATAAAAAACGAAATAAAGGGAGTAAGGGAGGAATGGAAGAGAAGGGAGGAGATATGGGAAAGGCAGAGAAAGGCACTAGAAGAAAAGGTAAAAACGATGGAGGAGAAAATAGAAAAATTAGAGATGAAGGGCGCAGAGGAGAATGAAGGCAGGGAGTTGATAGAAAAAATGAAGGAAATAGAAAAAAGTGTGGAGATGACGGAAAGAAGAAGGAGAAAAAATAACATAATTGTAAAGGAGGAGAAGTTAAGAAACGTTAAAGAGAGAAAAGAAAATTTCGAAAAGTTGATGGAAGAACTAAACAGTACAGAAGGAAGCATAGAAGAAATACAAGAAATAGGAAACGGGGAATACAAAATGAGACTCTTGAAATGCAAAAACTGGGAAGCTAAAAGAGACATCATGAAGAAAAAGAAGGAACTAGGAAGGAAATATGGAAGCTTTCTGGATGACGATCTCACCAAACAGGAAAGACAAATACAAACAGAGATAAGAAAGATAGCAAGAGAGAAGAGAGAGAAAGGAAAAAGAGTGACAATTGGTTATCAAAAGATGTGGGAGGACAACAAGGAATGGAGATGGAACGAAAGCAAAGGCAGACTGGAGGGGAGGGAAGACTTTCATAGGTCACAACGAAGAGAATGAAAACAAAGAAAGCGAGGAGGATGGGGAAAATAAATGGGAGGAAGGAGGGAGAGCGGCAGGATGCGAATCCAGAGTTGAGGAAGACGTAGATATAAAGAAAGGGGAGGAAGAAAGAGGGGGGAGGGAAGAGACCAAGGTGGTATTCTGGAATGTAGCGGGAATAATAAATAAAGATAGAGACTTTTGGGATGGGGTAAAGAAATGGGATGTGATTATTATGATGGAGACATGGATGGATAAGAAAGGATGGGAGAAGATGAAAGAGAAACTACCAAAGGAATTTGGCTGGAGAGTACAAATAGCGAATAGGAGGAATAAGAAAGGTAGAGCATGCGGAGGAATGCTAGTAGGTATAAGAAAAGGGATAGAAGAAATAAAGGAGGGAAGAGGGAGGGAAGAAGAGGAAAACAGGGTTGAAGTCAAGCTAAGAATAGGGGAGGAAATGTGGAAAATAATAGGAATATATGTAAACAAAGACATTGATAAGAAGTTAGAAGGGCTGAATGATTGCATAGAGGAGGGAAAAATAGGAGTAAGGACCATAATAGGAGGTGATTTTAATGCGAGAACGGGAGAGGAGGGAGGAAGGGAAGAGGAAGATGAAGAAAGTGAGAAAGGAAAAGGGAGAAATTCTAAAGATAAGAAGGTGAACAAGGATGGTAGGACGCTACTAGAATTTATAGAAGAAAGAGGATTGATGATTTTAAATGGTGGCACGAAGGGAGACGAAGAAGGAGAATACACATACACGGAAGGAAAGGGTGAAACAGTTATAGATTATATTATAGGTGATGAGGATAGCAGAGAAAAAATAGAAAGACTAGAAATAGGGGATAGAGTAGAATCAGACCATCACCCGCTAATACTGTGGATAAGTGGCGGAGCGAAGAGAACACAGAGAGGGGAAAAGATAGAAAAGACAAGAAGAAGAGGAATATGGAACGAAGAAGGAAGAAAACACTTCGTTGAGAAGATAGGAAAGATAGGAGGAAACAGAAAATTGCAGGAGGAGATAGAGGAAGGGGTGTCAAAGATAAGAGGAATACTAAAGGAGAATGAAAAGGGGGAGGTCAGGGGTGCCAATAAGAACAGAAGAGGATGGTGGGATGAAGAATGCAAGGAGAAAAAGAAAGAAGCGAGGGCAGAACTAAGAAAGTGGAGAAAGGGGAAAGGGGAGATAGAAAGATATAGAGAAAGGAGAAGGAAATACAGAGAAGTATGTGAAAGAAAGAAAAAGGAAGAGAAGGAAAGAATGATTACAGAGATAGGAGAAGCGAGATCGGAAAGTAAGGTATGGGAACTGATAGGTAGAGTAAGGAAAAGAAGGAAAAAAATAAACGAAGACATAGGGCTGGAAGAGTGGAAAAAATACTTTATGGAGCTAATGGGAGGCGTGGAGAACAGGGTAGTGAAAGGAGAAGGAGGGAGGGACAGACAAGACGAGGAAGAGATAGAGTTAGAGGAGGTGAGAAATGTAATAAAGAAACTAAAAACAGGAAAGGCAATAGGTAAGGACGGAATCCCGAATGAAGTATGGAAATATGGAGGAGAAGAGATGATGAGGTGGGCCTGGGAAATATGTAAACGAGTATGGAGGGGAGAAGGCTGGCCTGAACAGTGGAAGGAGGGTGAGATAATACCTTTAGTGAAGAAAGGAGAAGGAAAAGAGGTAAAAGACTACAGAGGGATAACGATTATGCCCTCAATGTACAAGATATACACGGCGGTATTAGCAGAAAGGATAAGGAATGAAGTAGAAATAAAGAACTTGATTCCCGATAACCAAGCAGGATTTAGAAAAGGAATGGGGACGATGGACCAGATATTTACGCTAAACTATTTGATAAACAGACATCTAGGAAAGGAAAAAGGAAAGATGACAGTTCTTTTCGTAGATCTCAAGGCGGCGTTTGACTCTGTAGATAAGGAAGTTCTAATTAAGGCAATGAAAGAGAGAGGAGTAAGGCAAGGACTGATAGATAGGGTGGAGGAAGTCCTGAGAGAAACAAAAAGCAATGTAAGAAGGGGAGAAAAAAAAGGGGACTCATTCTGGATGGCGAAGGGATTAAGACAGGGCTGCCCGTTAAGCCCGATACTGTTTAACTTACTAATTGCAGACATAGAGGATCACATGAGGAAGGGCGGATGGGGGGGTGTGAGTGTAAAAGGAGAGAAGATATACACCCTAATGTACGCAGATGACATAGCAGTACTAGCGGAGGAGGAACAAGACATGAGATCCATGATAAGCAGGCTTGAAGGATACCTAGACAGGAAAAGCCTAACGCTGAGTACGGAGAAGACGAAGATAATAAAATTTAGAAAAGGAGGAGGGAGGAAGAAGAAATATGACTGGAGATGGAAGGGAAAGAAATTAGAAGAGGTCAAAGAATTCAAATATCTGGGGTACACGCTGATGGCGAATGGAAGGCAGGAGGCACATATCAGAGAGAGAAGAAGGAAAGCAGCAAGGGTGATGAGGGAAATGTGGGGAATAGGTAAAAGGATGTGGAAAAAGGACTGTAAAAGAAGGATCTGGCTGTATGATACACTGATATGGACGGTGATGGGATACGGGGCGGAAATATGGGGGTGGAAGGAAAGGAGGGAGGTAGAAGGGATACACGAGAGATACCTCAGATGGACACTCGGTGTAAACTGGAGGACCCCAGGGTACATGGTCAGGGATGAACTAGAAAGGGAAAAAATGGGAGCCAGAGCGAGCAAAAGAACATGAAAATTCGAAAGAAAACTGGAAGAAGGTAGAGGAGGAAGAATAGCAAAGAAATGTTTGGAAGAAATGAAAGAAAGATGGAAGAAGGAAAGGATAATAGGAAGATAGGAGCAGGAGAGAAAGGAATACTGGGAAGGTATCGGGGTTGAAAAGGGAGGGGAGGAGGGACTGACGGAGGAGGCAATAGAACACAAGGAGAAAACAAAACAAAGACAAGAAAGAATGGGAAAGATTATGGAATCGAAATACAACAGGTGGTATAAACGAATAAGGAAGGATGGGATTCCGGAATATCTAAAGAAGGGCTGGGAGGAGGCAAGATGGAACAGAATCGCAAGGTGCAGATTGGGCAACGAGATTAGGGAGGGACTATACTGGGGAAAAGAGGAAGACAAAAAATGCAGGATATGTGAGAAGAAGGAGGAGACGTGGGAACATGTCTGGGAAGAGTGCTCGAGATGGGAAGATTGGGAGGGAGAGAGTTGGCAAGACGTGGTGGAGAAGATAATGGGTGAAAAGGGAGAGGGAAGAGGAATGGATGAAAGCGATAGAAGAGATGAGGAGTGGGGGGGGAGGAAGGAAAAAGAGGTTGAGAAATAGATGGCTAAGAAAATTTCAATTTCAGATAAGGTCAAGTAAAAGGGGAGCACAAGACAAAAAGAAGGAATGGAATTCAGAGCGAAGGTGACGGTAGAGAGAGAGATGCTGGAAAAAATGATAAGGGATCAAGCAAAGGAAACACTGAGAGCACTAAAAGAGAAAGTTAAGGACCAGAGAGAGGAGATAGAGAACCTGAAAAGAAAAATACGCAGGCTAGAAATGGGCGCGGGGAAAAGGAAGAGGGACGAAAGCGCAGAGAACAGGGGCAGGCAAGAAGAAATGAAATGGTGGTCCGACGACGATGAGAGGAATGAAGATGAGAGAAGGAGGAAAAACATAATAATAAAGGTAGAGAGGAATAGATGGATGGGAAAGGGAACGAACTGGGAGAAAGTGAGGCAACTGCTCTCGGAGGAACTGAAGCTAAGAGTAGAAATAAAGGAAGTGAGCGTAATAGGGCTGCGAGGAGAATGGCTCACGATGCTGGTGAGGCTGGGAAGTGAAAAGGAGAAATGGAGAGTATTAGAGGCAAGGAGGAGGGCAAGGAGTAGACTAAAGGTCAAAATGGATGAAGACAAATCTGTGGAAAGAAGAATTAGAGAGGGAGAAGAGAAGAAGAGAAGAAAGGAGAGGAGGGGAGAAGATGATGGAAGAACAAAAGGATCAGAAGAGGATGAGATAGCAAGCGAGCTAGAGAAGAGCCTACTAATGGAGACGGAAGAAGAGAAAGAAAAAACAAAGGCCGAGTAAGAAGGAAGAGGAGACCAGGGGAATACGGCGGGACGAGAGCCGGTAGTGGGGGTCCGAGGAACGAAGAGCCGCCCGGTTGAGGAGGCGCGGTCACCACTGGCCCGGGCGTAGGCGGATGCGTGCCGTGTGGCGGCGACGGCGACAAGAAGAATGAGGATCTCATGAACAAGTGGTTCGAGAGAGTTGCGAGATATGTCACCAATTTTGAGGAGAATACATGCGAGATGACGTCGAGTACCCGCAGTATGGGAGAACATCTGTTGCTAACGGAAAAATAACATATCCGCGGCGGTGGCATCAAGTGCGCGGCCGCGGCGGCTGATGTGCGCACGGAGAACGCGGAGGCACAGTGGAGCGACGCGCAAAACGGGCGGCTCGGACTCGGATGAATGCGCGTGGCAGAGGGACCAAACTGCGTCACGTGTTGCGGCCCCGGGCTCCTCAAATAGCGAGTCGCAGCAAGACTGATTTTTGTTTATGAAAGTTTATTTTCTTTGGAGTTTATTTGTATTTTGATTTTTTATAATTGCATTTTGATAAGTTTAGGTTTGTAAAGATGATTTTTATGAGAGTTTATTTTTTTGAAGTTTATTTTTATTTTGATTTTTGATAAGTGCGTTTTGATAAGTTTTGGTTTGTAAAGGGTTGGGTACGTCCCTGAGAAAACGCCGATGAGCCCATGGCAGGGACATATGTACAGGGTTGGGTACATCCCTCCAAAACGCCCTTTTGGACCCCTTTGGGGTAATAAAGAAGCTCAAACTAATAATTTAAAAAAACATTTGTATAATATTTATTCGACATTAATTTAATATTTATTTTACATTACTCATTTATTTGCAATAATAATTTGAAAAAAACATTTATTTAATATTTATTCAACATTAATTTAATAACTATTTTACATTACTCATTT